AATTACTAGAGCATTTTAGAGAAAAGACCACTAGAATGTTTTATCATGGGCAAAATAATGTGTTTTTCCCCCTTTCTCTCTGACGTGTTCTTAGAAATGTCAGAATTGTTTTGGCTGAAATAGTCCATAGAAATTCAGCTGGAGGTAGACAATAGGCATGGAAAAGTTCTGCTTGGATAGTTACCTTTTGGAGAAGTGATAAACAATGCAAAACAGAGTCTTACTCTGGGAAATGTTGGACAGCCTTAGTAATTGGAAGAGTTACCAGCCACACCATTCACAAGAGTACGTGCAGGGAGGGAAAAGTGAGATAGCATACATTATTGTTAGGGACGTGTTCTATCTCCCTCTAATTTTTTTCCATCCATGCATGGAATAAATTTTGTTATGTGCACCAAGGCATGTGTGAATGTGCACCACCAGTTGAAAAACATTCTGCCGGCTGTGGGTGCTCTGCTAATCAGCTGGGCAGCATTTGAACCTTTCTTACATGTAACACTGAATCTGTCACACTTTAGCCAACTCTTGTCTGATAAGTATACAAGTGTGTAAGATCCCAGGTTTGGGCAGTTGCAGCTCTAGTTGGCCTTTCCTTTCTGGTGCCTTTTAAAACAAGACAAATCTCAATTTCTATTACTTCTTCCCTTTAAAAAAACACCTAGGAAATTAAATGCAAAAATGAATAGTAATGCAACTCAGGCTGGCCTCTTTAGCATTCAAAAGTTGAGAAATACAAAAAATTAAGCTTCGCTGCAGAGCTCTAACTCTGCCCCCTTGTGCATATTCATTAAAATACAGAGTTTAATTATGTGCCATCAAATTATCTGAGACACCCATGTATATTTAATGTTACAGGGGGAAAATTGCATTAGATTGATTTCTATTATAAATTATATTTTATCAATAAAGAACTCATAAAGGCAAAGAGTTTAAGACTGCACGTTCGACTTTGACTTTTATTGTGCAGCCTTACATTTCATTGCATTGGATATAGATATATGGCTATCTAGCAGTCACAGTAATCAAGCGATGCACATTTGTGGGGATTAGAGTTGGCAGATGATAGATTGTTGTGTTCATTGGCAATTTCAAAAGCTAAAAATATTAGAGTCAGACAACTCAAAAAGTTAAAGAAGATGCATTTTGAATTCAGCAAAACATTTAGTTTTATGAAAATTGAAATGTTTCATGTAAATTTTCCATTTTAATTATAAGATATTTTTGTGTTTTTAAAATAAAGTTAAAATATTGAAACAATTATTTGCTTTAATCAGAGAAATTAAAAAAACTCCATTTAGAAAATGTTGAAACAAAATATTTATCTTCTTCACACACCCTCTCCATCCATAAAAAGCTGAACAAACAATTTGGCAAACTAGACACAAATTCATAAATTTTTTTGGCTTCTCTGAGTCTGCATTTTCCATGGTCAACAAACAAACTAACAAACAAACAAACAAACAGTGTTGGTGTATGTAACTCTCTGACTGCTACAAGCATGTATTAGTCAGAAAGACCTCTGTTTCTGGCTGTGCTTGCACCTATGCAAATGAGGCCTTAAATATTCCTCTGTGTGCTCTTTTACAGGCGAAGGAAATACTGTAATGTACACCCCGGGCTGGCCAGAGATGCAAGTGCTCTGTAATTAATTATGAACACACAAACGTATTTGTGCATCAGGGCAGAGTCTACATAGTTGAGTCATCATGGATTGCCTGGGTGCCTAAGTGAGCTCAGCCACCCAAGAAGAGCAATGATGACACAGCAGTGTAGTCCCTAGTAGGATTTCTGAAGATTGTGTGGTCATTGTTCAGCACAGCCATTGGACAAAAAAGAGAGGAAATAGCATCAGGGGTTTTAGAGCTCAGCTGCTGTCCTGGAAGCGTTAGGACAGTATTTGCTTATCTGTTCCCAGTTTGCTGTCTGTTAATCAGTCTGAAGTGTGCTCTCCATCCCAGTGTCTCTGGACTGTGGGTGTTACCCCCATGCTGCGGGCGCACACAAGTGCTGTGCAGTATTTGGGTATGTTTTCACAGCAAGATGGTACCTGCAGCAGTGTGTTTTGGAACCTGGATCACCACACTTGGGCTTGTGCTATGGTCCTGTGTAGACAAAACGGAGGGAGGAGGGTGGACTTTGGACTGTCAGCTCCCAGCCTGAGCATTTACAGAGCTGTTTTTATCTCTGTAGCGTGAGCCTGATGTGTGCTTCAGTTAGATGCCACCTGTGCTGGTGGGAGCGGCTTGCCTGTTGTCTAGGTGCTCACCTCACTGCGAGATGTCTCCCATCACCCTGGCTCTGAATGCAGTGGGATGCAGAGCGGGGTAATTGCATCACTCAGGGCATGGATTTCCATGACCATTGAGCAATATAGTTATACCAAACTCATTTCCTAGTGTAGTCCAGACCTAATACTCCTTGCTACTGGCTACTGCCTACGGCAGTCTTAGGCTATATTTATAGTGCCAATTGAACAACCAAAATTTTATCATTCAGAATTGCTAACCTCCTTCCCCCCCAAAATTTTGCCATGGCAAGTGCCACTGAACTGTGTGTGTGGGCCAGAGCACTCTCCTGTTGACAATGCAAATGCCTTCAGTTGGACAGAACCGACAAACAGCTGTTACACTGCCCCACTTTTAGTGACAGCTGTGTCAACATGGCAGACAGGAGGTGGTATAGGGCATTGTTTTGATATCTGGCCCAAATTAGGCCTAAGAAAAACACCGTGGCCTGTGTAACCTCCCCATCTATCGGATGTCCTTACTTTGTCAACTTTTAATAGTTCAAACATAAAATGCATTTTTATTGGGGAAGTAAAAAGTGTACTTGGCCATCTTAATCTGTAGAGAACAAGTACAACGTAGCGGTCACAGCAGTCTGACGCCCTACTCCAAGAGGGGAACTTTTGCCCGTCCACTACATCTTGACAACCGCCCCTGGGGCAGGCACCTCACCTTTTCCTGACAACTGTCCCTGAAAGGGGAAACCCCACTGCTGCCTGAAGCTGTGTCTACATGACAGAATTTTTTTGGAAAAACAGACGTTTTTCCGAAAAATCTTCACTTACATCCATACTGCAATTGCATTCTTTTGAAATTTTTTTTGAAAGAACTGAGGGGTTTTTCTGGCACTAATAAACCTCTTTCTACAAGGAAGAAGCCTTTTTCCGAAAGACCTCCTTTGGAAAAGATGTGTGTGGACGGGGAAGAGGGAGATCTTTCGGAAGAAGAGGAAAGAAGAAAAAGCACAGGTGCCCTGGTGGCCATTCTGTCCATAGCAATCACAGCTGAAATGCGAGACAGCGTTCATTCAATGAAGTTTGGCAGTGTAGATGCTCTCTTTCAGAAGAAGTTTTTTCGGAAGATTTTTCCAGAAAAGCTTTTTCTGAAAGAAGCCTGCTGTCTAGACATAGCCGGAGACTCTTCCCCCAGAGATGAACTCGGTGTGTTCCATTTGATGTGAAGAGGAAGCTTTTTTGTATTGAAATCAGGTAACCTCTCTGAAATACTGCTGCTGCTGCTGCAGGTGTTCACTTTCCTCTGTATCCACTCAGCCAACAGACAGTGACATTCCTTGAGCAATGCAGAGTGAATCACCGTTATGTGCTGGTACATGCTCTGCATAGCCAAAGAGAGAGAGAGAGGTTTGGACAAAAGTCTTAGGATAGCCACCTGATGTTTCACTTAATGCTTGCCAAGGAACCAAAGTTAAATAATAGATGCATGTCACTTCTCTGTCTGGTTACCCATTTATTAAAACACCTAAGAACACATGTGCAGTACTCCAACCCTTGCCCTATCACTCCTTGAACAACAATGGTAACAACACAACTACATAATGTGGCCTATCCACATAATGGCAACAGTCAGCTGAGAAATTTTCTTACCCAGTCTCATCTGAAACCAAACAAGATCCATTAACACTGGAGGATGCATTACTGAAATTGACCCCATGTTCCTGCTGTACTGAGAAGAGAATTTAGCCTCCTGACTCACTCTGAGGAAGGCATCTTTCTACTACATGGAATAATATTTCTAAGAACTGCAAATTTCTTACTGCAAAATAGAAAACGCAAACTTTTGCCGTTATGCAGAAACTTGTTTTCACAGCCTCTAAACTGTCTCTCTGTACTCTGGCTCTTATTCCTCGGCACGTGTCAGAGAGTTGCTATTTGACACATTGGGGAGTACTGAATTGGCTTTCATGAAATAGAGACTAGAATTTCCAACTTGCTGTAAAGCAGTGCCTCTCTGTGCTTTCTTTTCCTTTCATTTTTTGTAATACAGAATGGAAATTACTAGTTGCTGTTGCATACACTGCCACCTTCTGTAACGGAGATTGAAATTTATGAATTGCTCTAAAACATTGTCTCCCATTCTAGCTACTCTATGAACAAGTGATTTATTTCCCAAGGTTCATAGTAATTTTTACTCAGCAAGTAATGAGATCACTTAGGCTATGTCTAGACTACATGGCTCTGTCGCCAGTGCCATGTAGATTAGTTTACTAGAAATACCCAAATGAAGCGGTGATTTAAATAATCGCCGCTTCATTTAAATTAAAATGGCTGCCGCGCTGAGCCAATCAGCTGTTTGTCAGCTCATCGCGCTAGTCTGGACGCACCGCTGTTGACATCAAAGGCATTTGTCGACCGCCCCGGTAAGCCTCATCCCACGAGGCATAACGGGGCTGCCGACAAACGCAGCGCGGCAGCCATTTTAATTTAAATGAAGCGGCGATTATTTAAATCCTCGCTTCATTTGGGTATGTCTAGTAAACTAATCTACATGGCTCTGGCGACAGAGCCATGTAGTCTAGACATACGCTTGGATTCCTTACTTTGACATCTCAATGTGTTGATACATAGAGATGGTTTATTTGTTGGGTACCAGTGCACAAGGACCTCGCGGCAGCCATTTTAATTTAAATGAAGCGGCGATTATTTAAATCCTCGCTTCATTTGGGTATGTCTAGTAAACTAATCTACATGGCTCTGGCGACAGAGCCATGTAGTCTAGACATACGCTTGGATTCCTTACTTTGACATCTCAATGTGTTGATACATAGAGATGGTTTATTTGTTGGGTACCAGTGCACAAGGACCTGCTGAGAAATGGGAATCAAGTGCAGCAAGTTCAGGAAATTATTAATTAAAAAGGAACCATTTAAGGACCATGAAGATTTGGAATGCATTTCTCTTCTGATAAAATTTTAAAGAACTTGAATTTGAGATGGAGATGTCCTACTTTATATAATTAAAAAACACTGATGGAAAAATCTTGTGTGGCTATGACCTCTGCTGTGTGTATCCTAGCTTTGAATCCTGTGTTGTTTTATACAAACAATAGAGCTTCCACTGCTTGCTTTTTTTATTTCCCTCTGTTGGAAATGTAAATTCTCACCTTTATCCCACTCCATCCGCCTGGAATAACGCCTCTGCTACATGCAGAAGAACATGAGGCTTTGTCTGCGTGAGAAAGTGGTGGCAGTGTAACTTAATAGGTGATTTTACACTAACTTGGTTAAACAAGTGCAAAAAGCTGTGTGGACACTCTTATTTCGTAGGGAACCATGCTTTTGGCTTGGCTCACATCACTGCAAGTGAAACTGAAAAGAGACATTCCCAAATGGAAATAAGTACGCACACGGGGATCTGCAGCTGTTTAAAAATAGTTAAGTTAAACAAGTGCAACATCTGTGTGAAGCCAAGAACTGGATGGGTGCATTCTCTGTTCCTCTGCTGTCCTCTGGTCTCAGTCCTAGTCTCCTATCCTGTTGGGTCTGCAGAGCCTTTCCATGTGCTCCCCCGGGTCTCCAGCTGACCCAGTGTTCCGTACATGGAACAGAGCCCGCCCTGTCTGACTGCTGAGATTCCCCAATGGAGCAATAACTCGGATGGATCCTTTTAAGATTTCTGCAGAGCTCTGCGGTAAGCTCCTTCTCCCAGATGTCTGAGCTGAGCTGAGTGAGATGATGTTGGGAGGAGGTTCCCTCTTCTTGCCTGTATGTAGATGTGTGTCCCCAGGCTGCTATGCAGGGTAAAAACTTTTAGAATTAATGTTTACTAAGGACAAACCTGTAAAAGAGCAGAACAAATCCATATTTACCTTTCTGGGTCAACAGTGAGAAACAATGCCATGAGTTTGCAGCCTGCTGGTCTCCACAGCTGAGCCCATTTTCAGATACACTGTTCTGATGGGTAAGAGCCCCTGCTTGTGCTGGGACATGGCCAGTGCACTCCCTGTTCACTTGCTGTGCTCACAGGCTACGTCTAGACTGCAAGCCTCTTTCGAAAAAGAGCGTCTAGACTACAGCCAGTACTTTTGAAAAAGCAAGCCGCTTTTTCGAAAGAGAGCACCCAGGCAGTCTGGATGCTCTCTTTCGAAAAAGCACAGTTTGCATTACATAGCGCCTTTTTTCAAAAGAGCACTTTCGAAAAAAAGTGCTCTTCCTCATAAAACGAGGTTGTCCATGATTGAAAAAAACGCTGGGTTCTTTTGATTTACTTTCGAAAGAATGTGGCAGCAGTCTAGAAGCAGGGGAAGTTTTTTTTTGCAAAAAGGCCACTTTTTTCGAAAAAAACCTGTAGTTTAGACACACCCAGTCTGTTACAGAGCACAAGGCACAGTGTCTGTAATTTTAAAATCCTATCCCATATGGGCAAAAAATGAGGCAAGAGCATTATATGTAGAAATGGGCTGCAAAGAGAAAACAAGGGCACTAGGGTGAGGTCCACAATCTTGGCTCTATTCATAGAATCATAGAAGTGTAAGATGGGGAAGGAACTCAGTAGTCGTATACTCCAACCCTCTGAATTCAGTATATAGCAATCATCATGACAAGACATGATGTTTGGAACTGGATTTCCCCAAAGCTCGGTGGTACCAGACCCATTGCTAGTTACAAGCACAGCTAAACCAGAGAGCTAAATGTAAAGGTTTTAGGAGCTATGCAGCCTGTGTGTGAGCTTAGTCGGACTACAGGATGGCCTCTTTGAGGCAGGCTGCACCACTTGTTGAAGATGCAGTTTCTCTCACTAGCTTTCTAGCACATAGGTGTTCATGGGCCTTTTGTTGCTTTCCCCATAGAAGGGACAGAAAGGTTTGGTAAGGAGAGTATGATGGGCAAGCCACTGTTTTGTTCCAACATACAAAGTGCCCATCCTCCAGTATTTCTACATGTGCCCATCCCATTGTTATACAATGCTATTCGTAAACAACACTGCATCCGATTGTAACAGGAGTATATGCAGATTGCAGCATCAGTGGGGTTTGCCCATGGCAGCTCATGAGGCTTTCTACATTTTTTGTTAGTCTCTAAGCTGCTGCAGGGCCATTCGCTGTTTTTTAAGTTTCCCCATCAGATGTTTCCTGTGTTCTCTTACCTGTGTGTGAGCACAGCCTGAAGAGAGACAGTCCATGCTAGAGAGTCCTCCGGGTGTTTTTCCATTTGGAGCAGGACGTTGGGACATATGGTGGATTGTTTTCACTCTGCTTTTCTAATGGTAGCTGCAGTCTGACCTGGGGATGCATTATGCTGGGAGTAGAGGGGCAGAATTCCAGGGGCTTTTGTGTGGCAAGACAAGGAGTGGACTCTGAAAAGCGGTTGTTGTGCTATACACAACTACTAACTTACCCCTGGCCCATCGCCAGTCCCTGTTCCTTGGTGCCAGCTTAGAAATATGATGAGTCCCTCTTGCCCCTTAGTTCCATGTTCTTCTTTTGCTACCTTCCAAAACTCACAGTTTGCAGCACACCAGAGACAAGAGGGTCAGGCAGGAAAGGGGGGATCCTTTGTCTTTGTGATGCATCCACTTAGATGCCCTTTGGGCTGAGCTCATTCCTCTGTGCTATACGGCAGCCTTGCTCCAGGGAGGGGAGTCCCAGGAGCTGTAGGAGAGAGAGAGAGAGAGTGTGTGTGTGTTGCTTTTCAATAACCTGCTACTGCAAGCCGGAGCCACCCAGCCCCATCCTCTGCTCCCATCTGGGACAGAAGTCTCTTCATTGTCTGTACCCCCCGAAGAGATGTTAAAGCAGCTCTAAGAGAGGTATGGGAACAATAAAAACTTGGCAGGAAAACAAGAGGACCAGGCACATTGGACTGGGCAGGCAGGGACTGACCTGCTAGAAAACCAAGAGTAAAAAGGATTCAGCCACAAAGTCTTGTTTTTGAAGAAGCTCTTAGCCACCTCACTTAATAAAACCAGGAGTGGTAGCAGATGACCTAGCATTCTGTAGCGACAGGCTTATTTGCTAACCAGTACCAAACATTTCCTAGAGTCCATAATTTTCACCTTCCTGTTTGTCCGTGGATCCATCTTCTTTCACCCACTGCCTCTCTCGTGCTAGTTCTGACGTACCCCTGACTTGCTGGGTGCAGGACTGCAGATAACCATGAGTTTCAGGAGAGCTAAATAAATTTGAGTTTTTGGAGGCGTCATGCTTTACTGCTCACTCTCGCCTGCTGGGCTGACTGCTTTTATACGCCTGGCCGTTATTCCAGCAAGTCTCTGTAAGGTAAGTGCACAAAGTGGCCACACTGAGACTTGCACACTCCTAGCCCTGCCCAGCAGCGTGACCTTTCATCGCTTGCACTGACACACTCATTGTGAGGCAGCGAGGGTTGCTCCCTACGACATATGCCACACTGACCCACAGAAGCCAGGGAATGAGAAGTGAAGTCACCTGACAGGACATACCTGCTACTCCTCCACCCTCAAGCACATGCCTTGCCATTACTGCAGCTAGTGTTCAGCCATGCACTGCCATCTCAGCTCTGCCCCACGTCTCTGTTCCATGTACCCCCCACTGCCAGGGTATACTGCTGCCAACTGTGCAGGGTGCCTGGTGCCACTGGCTGTGCTGGGAGGGAGTCATCTGGGAAAGGGAGTGATGACTGGCTGGAATCCTGAGCATGGAGGAAATGGACCATTATCTTCACAGTGATGGAACCATCCGTCAAGACACTAGTGGGTCTGGCTGTCCCCACAGCACTCTTGGTGTTTTCTTGCCCTCCGGAGCAACACACAGGAATTGCCCACTGATATCCGGTGTGTGTTCTCTATGCCCCTGAGAAAGCAGGGGGCCTGGGGCACCGGAACCTTTCCCATCCCTTTCCTTGTTACATTACTGACATCTGTCTATGGCAGTGTGTTTCCCTGCAGCTGCAGGGCCTTCCCTGGGGCTGGAAAGCCCGTGTGCATTTACGTAGCTCAACAGCAAGCCTTGGTGTGCTCTGCAGCTCAGGCAGCTTTCCCCCTTAGCTGAGAGAGTGATTGGAGCAAGCCTGAACTCTTCACAAAACCCCAAGCAACCCACACCTTGTTACAAGCCAGTAGGAAATGAGTAATGATGACTTTTCGGTGAGGAAAGGAATGCACAGGGTGCTGGGACCTGAGGCTTTGATGAAGTGTTAACTACTCAGGCTGTTTTTCCTGAGCGTTATCAGCTTGGAAGGGTTTTTTAGGCAGGGGATGATGTAGCACAAACTGTTGGTTCCTGTTACAAGACGCCTTTCCAAGAATTGCAGGGTGACTCTGGGGAGAAGGGCCTTGGGTTTCCTTGCAAGATGAAAGCAGCTAATGTTCCCATGTGGTAATCAGACAGGCTTTTCTTGCCAGCTTCCTTGTGTAGTCCACATCTACTGCACCCTTTGGCCTCCTCTTTCCACTTCCACATGAAGGGCCTGGCCGAGGCCATGGGAGGCTTCAGTGTCACCAGCTTCTCAGGTGGCTATTTGCAATGATTTGGGGGGAATGTAACCCGCAATAGTGGCCAGTCTCCAGGACAGCAAGCACTGCTTGGAACATGGCAAAAGGCTTTTCACGTCTGTACATTGTGGATAGAGGGACATTGGTTGCGATGCAATAGCACATGCAGATGGCTACCGATGGGAATATATTCTACCTCCAAAAGTCAGGGGCTTGAGCATAGCCCCCATAGTGGGAATGCAGGGGGACCCGTGCATGCTGTGTGCTCTGAAAATCATCAGGGCAGGGGACTGATCCCTTCCAGTTCTAGGATTCTAGAACATCAGAACGGCCATACTGGGTCAGACCAAAGGTCCTTCTAGCCCAGTATCCTGTCTACCGACAGTGGCCAGTGGCATG